AGCCTGGATCAGAACTTTAAAGGAAGACAACATCACCTAAAAATACCGCAAAAACCAGAGAAAGAAAAAACAAAAAACATGAGCAAAACCCACAAGAAAGAAGAACTTATTTTGGAAGCTGGCGAAACAGAGGCACTCTCAGTTTAGCGAATACGTCGAAGAGGCGAGCACCAAGGCGAGGCCACGAACAACGCGGGAATCAGTGGGACCCCAACAATGCGCCGAAGAGGCGCTAGGGCAGAGCCCTAGCGAAGCGGCGGAAGCAGCGCGATATCTTATATTTCTATTAAGTTGGGCTTATGAGTTCGCTACTTTTAGGTTAGCTGGTTTCCCATAAAAATTTTGTGTTGTGTGTTGCATTATTTTTTTCTAATTATATGTGAAATCTGTGAAATCTTTGTTGGAAGCTAAAATAATAAACCTTCTTAGATTATAATATGTTTTAGGGATAGTAACATACATATCTCAAATGAAATCATATATATTTATAAATTTAACTCGAACCCTAAAAAAAGTGAACTAACGAAATCACATATAATTGTGTACTTCTTTTTTGATTGAATCTAAGATTTAACAAATCACACCATCAAAAAATTAAATTTGTTATGCTAGGATTTGGGTGCTTCATGCTTCTCGGCAGTCCGCCGCCGCTCTCGATGTTGGTATTGAGCTCTTTGAAGGTGTTCTCTATATGTTTTCTTCCTTTCATTTGTTCTTTTCATTTGACATTTTGTGTTTGTTCACTATTTTTTCCACCTTCGGCCATCCATTGGCCGAATGGTGGTTACTCAGTTGAATGATCCAAGATTTCTAAATGCAAAAATGTATTCTCGTTCCTTTTTAGAAGCCTTGCTCGGGGCATCTACCTCGAATACTTTTGATGATATCAAAATCATGACACATCGCGGCTTATCTTCATTATGGATCTCGGAAAAAGTGATCTTAGCTCTAGCGACTCCTTTCGATTGCGTTTTGGCAGGTAAATTTCTTGCTTGTAGATCGGCCCTTGGTTCAATTAGGAAGTTTTTTCAACCTTGAACTCATTGGGGATTTCTTTGTTACTTTCTTTAATCCCCTTTACGGTTCTATTGAACTGATTTTGTTGTCTAATAATGTAGAAGTGAATGATGAAGTGCCCATAGATATTCACATTTTTCTTGTATCTGATGATGCTTTCATAGCACATTTGACTTTCAATTTGAGGGATATTGGTGTGGATCAAGGTGATTAGTTAGCTAATTGTGATTCATCAGCTAATTGGGATGTTGGAGAGGAGATTGTTATGGATGGGGATGATTCATTGGAAATATACAACGTAAATGTGATTTAAATCGCTGATGAAGGTTTTTACAAGAATGTTGATAAACGTGGATGGAGAAAATCCAAAAAGAAATAATCTTCTTTAGTTTGGATCCTTCTTTCCTTTTTATTTTTTAATTTATTTTATTTCTTTTTTTATTTTGATCCTTCTTTTGTTGCTGTGTTGTTGGGTCCTCTTTTCTCTATGGGTTGGTTGTGGCTGTTCTGATTTTGGTTGTTGGGGCTGTTGGTTGTGCCTTATGGCTTATTTGGTGTTTATGCTTGCCCTTGACTGCTTAGGGGTTCGACTGATTTCTGTCAGTTATCTCTTTTCCTGATGGATGGCTTTTAGGACTGGAAGTTTTGTCTGCCGTAGTGGCTCCTTACTTGGTTTCCTTTTTTAATTTCTATTTTATTTAAAAAATGGAATCATCTTGGTTAAATCCGATGTTATAATCTTCAAACTTATAGAACTTAAGAAATCATGGATGATTATGAAATTCAGGTTTCATTTGAGGCATTTTTTTTGCGCTTTCTAAAGCATCTTTTAGCACAAAAATATTTTGAACTATAAGTTTTTGTCCTAAAAGCTACTTTTCAATCACTGCTGCACTGATGTTTGGCTCATGCTTTCCAATTGCTTTTCATATTTCTTCTTTCATAAGAAGTTATTTTCTTATCATATTCGCTAAAGTGCGGTAGTCATAAAAATGTTTCTTATATTTTTAGAAGTAAAAAAAAAATTATTTTTCCCACAACAGTTGTATAATCATCTGTAAACAAAATTCTAGCTACTCCAAAAGAACCCTAAATTTAACATTGACTTAATTTTTCTTTGCTCATAATGTCTAACCGTCGGCAGATTGTTATTTTAAGTGTTACAAAATCACTGAGAGGGAGACAATAATCTCTTTTTCTCTTATATCGACATGTGCAGGAAATTATTTCAAGGTTAAGCTGTTTCCCCGTTGCTTTTCCCAACCCAAATTCACATTTGACATGCAACAAGTTTTCAAGATTCATTGTCGGAAGGGAAATTCTCTTTATCATTTATAAAATCATTGGATTTGTTGCTTTTATTAACAAATCATATTTTTTAATCAAATTCATTTTATTTAAATGTAAAAAGGATAATTTTTTTCTTACACATTTAAATAAATTTAATTAAAACATTTTGAGTCATAATTATTTAAAATAACTTTTAAAAATATTAAATAAATTTAATAAATTTTACATATATACCACGTTATATTATATTATTTGTATATCTAATACCTAAATTTTTAATATTTCTTGTCTACCATACGTAAATAATAAGGTATAAAGTGATTTACATGTAAATCACCTTTAAATTTAATAACTTCAGCTTGCTCAATATTTAAGATATCTAACCACAAACTACTCAAACTTTATTGTTTTTATTTATTTATTTATAGCTTTTTGTCAATATTTGAAAGTACAATCGGTTTGAGCTGTATAATGTAATAAATATTGAACTTATTTAGATATTACTTAAATGATATAATAATTATGTAAATATATGATAAAATTAAAGAAGATAATTATTTTATGAATATATAATATACATAAAAATATACTCTCCAATTTAAATTTAAATATTTTTATAATTCAGTTGCTAACTTTTTGTTTTATTGCCATAATCAAAATTAAAATAATTCTTTGATATTAATATTTTACACCCAATTATATAAATGTATTACAACAATAGAAGTTACGAGGTTAGAGGTTATGAATTATAAATTATAATACTTTTATTTAATTGATTTTATTTTAAATATATGTAGTGTAATTAAAAACAAATGATGATAAATTGATCAAGATTTGAACCCGACAATTCATCAAAATTGTAACGTGTCCAACGATTCACCTGCCAATTCTATCAGGTGCATTCAGGTTACCGTAGAAAAATTTTTGAATGTTGATTGAACCGATCGATCAGAAGAAAGGTTCACGATTGAACCGGTCGGATTAGTCAGTTTGGCCTGACTTTAAAACCCTAAAATTTCATTCACGATTCACAACTAGACAATTGGACTTCTTATTTGAGCTCAAAACTTAAGCTTGCATGGGTAATATTAAGTCATCGTGACCCAATAATGAATAATTTTTCTAACCTGTTTACACCTTTAATAATGTTTAGCCCCATATCAACCCACCTAGGCTTTCTTTAATAATGGTTACCATCGGTTTGGGTCACTTTACAATCTCATGCTAAAATATTGCCAAGGCTTACAGAGCCATTGCTCTACTAGTCTGCTAAGAACAGGTTAGCGGGTCACTCACAGGTGCAAGGTTTAGCTTATAGTAGTTCTTAAGTTGGAACCTGATTTTCAGGTTAGTTCTCAGTTCGGGTCAAAGCCAAATAAAAAGACACGTTATCAGTCTATCACACATAGTTCAACCCATAAACTGTTTGCCTCTGCTTGTGCAAAATGCCGCAACTATATAGTTTTGGAGAGAGAAATACTTTTAAAATAAATAAAATTAATGATTTTTTTTAGTATAAGTTACGTTATTCAATTAATATTAAATTATTTTTATAAAATTATTGTAAATAAATATTAATAATTTAGCCGAATTAATTGCATTATATTTCTGGAATGTTATTTAATTTGCGTTAACTTCCATGTGAACAAAATAAATAAAATACAGTAATAATTAACCGTTGAGCCCGATTAATGTATACCATGCAGATATAAGTATGGCCATAATTTTGGAAGAACATTGTGTGGTAAGGAAATAGAGAATATTCATTTTTTTACTACTTTTAAATAAGTTGATTTTAAAATATTAAATTATTTTCTTTCATCTATTAGCCTAAATTTCTTGGTGAAAATAATTGCAACTATTAATAATATTTTTAGGTGAGAATAAACAATATTTTTCATAATCACAAACGAGCCAAATAACAATATGTTCAAATTTAATTATTTAACAACAAGTTATTTATAAAAGTATTCAAATTTATTCAATTAGTTATGTGGTTTTGTTTTTTGTTTTTGTTTTTGTTTTTTCTTTTTTTTATTATTATTATATATATATATAATGAAAATATCAAATAATTAGGTCTTTTTCTATAAATTTTTTTGAAGAGTTTTGTGAATTTTGAATTGACTGATTGATTTTTTTTACAGTTCAATTCCCTTAGAAATTTAAAATTTTGGAAGGTGTTATAAAAATTTTAGGATGAAATTTAGTCATAATAAATTTGTGCTTTTCAGCATTCAGCTTGTCTAACAAAAAAAAAAAAAATTCTATTAGGATTTAGCCCCACAAAGTTATTACTGTCCATTCAAAAACAATAAAATAGGTCAATTTCATTCAAAAGCAACAAATAGAAGAGAATAGAAAAGAAAATAGGAGAGGGCATCCAATCCAGAATTCATTCAAAAGCTTAATTTATTGTCCACTGCTTAAATTCAAAAGAGAAATTCGAGTATTGGGCTTATGACTTTGATGAATTTCTCATTAGCTTAATGGCCTATGAGAACAAGGAATAAAGGAGAATACAGTAAGAAGTGGTAAAAAAAAAAAGGAACAGCAATGGTAAAAGAGGAGGCAGGTGGAGCCGTAGTGGTTGGAAAAAGGCGTAGGACCTTGAAAATACTTCAAAAATGGCAGCTGCTAAATGTGCAAATATTCAAGATTATGTGGTAGAATACAATATGAGATCAATACAAGACAATCAAAGCTTCCAAACCTTTGCGCAAAACATTCAAGGAAATCAACTAAAGGGAGAAGATCGGTCAACCTTTCTCTTTGGCCAGGTCCTCAGAAACTGAGAACCTCCAGTGAGAGCAGAGAATCTACAGATATCTCCAATCCTCTGCCTTTCCTATTTCATATCCGAGTTTTATTTTTTTTTTTAATTTTTTGGCCTTGAAAGCTCTGCGAGTAAGAACCCACGAGCAGATAAAAAAGACTCATTAAAAAACCAGCAGTGGAGCAGGAGAAAGAGAACAGAGAGGTAGAGGGAAGAAGTTGCAGGGCAGTCGGGATGGCGCGCAGCGCCGGCTGCCGCCGCTGGATTCCTAAAATTGAATGCGTGCCAGCCACAGGCGATCCTGGAGACCGAAGCGATGGAAGAAGGTAAACGTGGCTGGATTGGACGAGTGTAAAGGCGGTTCCTTTTTCGGGGGGAAGTGAAGAAAGCAGAGCTTTCGATGATGGCGGCAGCGAACGCGCTGGCGACGGGGGAATCGTCGTCGGCAGCTACGGCGGAGGCGACGGCGAGGGCGGCGAGCAGGCGGTACGAAGCCCTGGTGTCGGTCCGGACAAAAGCGATGAAAGGGAAAGGAGCTTGGTATTGGGTCCATTTAGAGCCGGTGCTCGTTCATGGCCCGGATTCCAATCTACCAAAAGCCGTCAAGCTCCGCTGTTCTCTCTGTGAGGCCCTCTTCTCCGCCTCGAACCCCTCTCGAACCGCTTCGGAACACCTCAAGCGCGGCACCTGCCCAAACTTCACCTCCGCTGCCGCCGTCGCCGCCGCTTCCATCGGTCCTTCCTCCGCCCCTACACCTATCTCTTCCCTCCCTCCCTGCAGAAAGCGCTCATCTTTACCGCTCTCCGAGTCTAAGCTCTCACCTTTTTCCTCCTCACCGCCGCCTCTGGCGCTTCCAGCACTCCCGGCACCTCACCACCGCCTTGCACTCTCCGGCGGGAAAGAGGACATCGGCGCGCTCGCCATGCTCGAAGACAGCGTGAAGCGGTTAAAAAGCCCCAAGGGCGCCTCCCCTGGTCCCGCACTCTCTAGACCCCTCGCTGACGCCGCCCTTTCTCTCCTAGCCGATTGGCTTTTTGAATCCGGTGGCGCAGCCTCTCCTTCCTCCCTCGACCACCCCAAGCTCCGCGCTTTTTTCCACCAAGTCGGCCTCCCCGCTCTCTCTCCTCGTCGTCTCCTTGGTCCCATCCTCGACTCCCGCTTCCACGACGCAAACGTTGAGTCCGCCACCCGCTCCCTCGACGCGCCTTTCTTCCAGCTCGACACCGCTGGGTGGAACACCGCCTCCGAAGCAGAACAGAGTTTGATCAGTCTCGCCGTCAATCTTCCCAATGGCACCACCGTCTTCCACCGTGCGATGCTCGCAGCCTCACGCGCGCCCTCCGATTACGCTGAGGACGTTTTCCGCGACGCAATCGCTAATATTTCCAGCGGTTCAGCCCATCGCTGCGCTGGCATTGTTGCTGACCGGTTCAAATCAAAAGCCCTCCGCAATCTCGAAACGCAGAATCACTGGATGGTAAATGTCCATTGCCAGCTCCAGGGTTTTCATAGCCTTATCAAAGATTTCACCCGCGACCTCCCCATCTTCCATTCCGCTGCTTCCAAATCCTCCCGCCTGGCTGAATTCTTCAATACCCATTCATTAGCTCGCTCCGTTCTCCAAAAATACCAGCTTCAAGAACTCAACCATTCACACCTTCTCCATTGCCAAAACTTCAACGCTGTCCTGGATGACGTAATCTTTTCCTCACATTCCCTGCAACTTGCCAGTCTCGACGAGGACTTCAAGCTGCTCTGCCTCGACGACTCGACGGCGAGGGAGATTTCGGAATTTATCCAAGACCCGAGGTTTTGGAACGAGTTGCAGGCTGTCCATTCACTTGTTAAACTGGTTGAAGCAATGTCAAAGGAAATGGAAGCAGAGCGACCGCTGATCGGCCAATGCCTGCCTCTCTGGGATGAACTCCGCAGCAAGGTGAAGTCTTGGCTTGCAAAGTTCAACATTGAAGCTGCCATCGACGTCGACCGCATTGTCGAGCGGCGGTTCAAAAAGAACTACCATCCGGCGTGGTCAGCGGCGTTCATATTGGACCCTTTGTATCTAACCAAGGATGCAAGTGGCAAGTACCTGCCTCCATTCAAATTCTTGACGCCGGAGCAGGAGAAGGACGTCGACCGATTAATAACGCGGTTGGTTTCGAGAGAAGAAGCTCACATTGTGCTCATGGAGCTCATGAAATGGAGAACAGAGGGCCTCGACCCGTTGTATGCCCAAGCAGTGCAGGTGAAGCAGGTGGATCCTGCAACAGGGAAGATGAGAGTGGCAAATCCGCAGAGCAGCAGATTGGTGTGGGAAACTTGTCTTAGTGAGCTAAGATCGCTGGGAAGAGTGGCCGTCCGTCTTATCTTCCTTCACGCTACAGCATGCCGTGTCAGGTGCAGCCCTGGCCTGCTAAGGGTAGCGCGGCGGTCGAGAGCAGCATCTGAAAGGGTGGAGAAGATGATGTTTGTGGCGGCTCAAGCGAGATTTGAAAGGCGGAGCTTCTCTGATGAGGAGGAAAAGGATGCTGAGATTTTTGGAGAGAACGAGGATGAGGAAGCTTCTTCAGTGTAACCATTTTTTTTTCTTTTTCCTTTTTTTTTTTTCTTGTTCTGATTTAAAGTTGATTTCTTTATTTGATCTTTCTGGCATTCTGTTGGTTTTGCTGGATTCTTTGTTTGGATTCTGAGCTAGCTGGTTGTTCTGATAGCTTGCTTTTACTGTGAGGATTTTAATTAGCAGAGGAGTTTGTTTGAAGATAAAGGATGATTTCTTCTTGTTTGTAATGAAGGTTGCAGAAGCAGGAAGAACAATGTAAAATTTTGTTTCTTAAAGGATAGTATGCTTATGTGATTCAGATTTTCAGGCTAGGTTCCGTTATCTAAATGTTATATAGATGATAATAATGTAATTAAAAAAATATTCTACTTAATTAACAATTTCATGGTATTCACCATGATTATCATACTGAGATTATGATATTTTTGTTGATATTTATTTTTGCCATCAATAGCCTAACATCTAGAGAGCAATAAATGGCATGTGTCGTCAGTTTTTTCTCTAAAGCATAAATATTTTATTATGGGGATTTGAATTTACCACTGTAACTATAATCTTAGGAAATGTTTATTTATTAAATCAACCTGTAAATTAAATAATTTCATGAATTCTTATGCAGTTTTTTTTTTTTTTCCTTTTTGTTTTGATGTGAAGAGTATATATGTGAAAATGTTAGAGTAGTTTCAGTGGCATATAAGATTAGAGAGAGTAGCTTTAGATGGTTTGGCTGTCTTATGGAGTCCGGATGTAGCTTTTCGTCCGGACTCCAATCACATGAATACACTTGAACTTTCTCTTTCTTGTACACATCATGCGTACAAGAGAGAAAAATTTACATGTACACACGTGATTGGAGTCTGAACGGTGTCCAGACTCTGCACGTAATAAATTTTCCTACTTCCAATGATCCTGTTAGGAGATTAGATGTATCAGATTCAACCCATGTTAAGAAAGGTAGAGGTTGACCTAAAAAGATTTGATTAGAAAATATTATAAATGATATTTTTTTATTAGATTTAAATGAGAAATGGACTCTTGATATTGTTTTATTTTTGTGATTTAAAGTTGGTATCTTTATGTTATTTCTCGTATTATATTGAATTTGATGGATTATTTGTTTGGATTCTGAGCTCGTTAGTCGTTGTCCTGCTAACTTGCTCTCACAGTGGGGGAGATCTTGGTCTGGAGATATAGGATTTCAAGTTGTTTATATTGTAGTATTCAAGACGGCAGCAGGAAGAATGAAAATTTTTATAGCATATATTATTATTATTATTATTATTATTATTATTATTATCATATATTATTTGGGGCATAAGGACCAGCGGCTGTGTAAAATTTGTTTATTTAAAAGTATTTTCCATGCGATATTTGAAATCAAAGCTTCATCTCAGGCTAATATATTTCTAAAATGCATTTGCATATTATTTGCAATGATTCTGCTCACATTATAAGATGCACTATTCATTTTAGGAAGTTCGTTTCATAATAGATTGAACCTCTTCTTAGTGCAATTACTCAAAAGAGTATTCATCTTTGGAATGCTTTATCATTCGGGGTGTCAATATTTGACATGACCCGAAAATTTTAAATTTGGGTCAACTCGTTTGAAAAATGGGTTGTGTTCGGATTTCAAGTCCTTACGCAACTGCTCATTCGGGTTAGGATTGGGTTAACATGAAAAGTCGAAATCAAACTGAAAGCAACTCGCCAACCCTGTGCACCTCCTTTGTTGCGTACTCTTGCTCACCCGCCTCGCGGCCTCGCCGCTCGTTGTGCTCGCGGTCACCCGCTTGTGAGACTTATATGCGCTGACGAGAATTCAATAATATTTTGTCCAACTATTTATAAAGCTAGGATGTAATTTGTTAATTAGGAGAAATTCAAGTATTACATATTTTCTCTCATTTAAAAACTTTATTAATGGACTTGGTTAGAAAGAACTTGAAATGAACTTTGTTAGTTAGATTTAAATGAAAATTAATTTGACTCTTAATATGTCACAATGGAGAAAAAAGATAAATATAGCCGACCCTACATAATAAGATTAAGACTTTGTATTAATAGAATAGGATTTCAAAATTTGGCCTTAGTCATAGAATTCTCTCATTCTTCTTCTTTGTGAGCACTAACATATTTTTAACTTCTCTTAAAATAAAGACATTACTGATATTCTTATTTTGACATGTTTGATGAGGTCAATCCAAAGAAATCTTATTTGGATAAGAATGAAGCTATCAAAGGCAGCTAATAAAGCTTTTGTTAAAACCCTCATATATGGAATTATTACTGATAAACTCCTGTTGGGATCATGAAGAAGAAGAGAGGGAAGTGAAGAAGAAGAAGAAGATTACATTGTCATTAATCTTAACCCTTTTCTTCACTGAGGAGAATAAAATAGAAATCCCTAAATTTCAAGTGGGGATCAAGATATTATTTTTAAGAGGTATGTGGATGAACTATTTAGAATCAAGCAAAGGAATACAGTATCTTGGACAGTTAATTATAGAGAGAGAGATAATTGATTACTCTAAAAGAAGATCTTCAAAAAGGCACTAAGAGGTTGGAGATTAGGGAAGACGGCCTTAAAGCTGCCATTAAATAGGCTTATTTCACTATGTTGTTAGCATACCGTCCATTAGGAATCTATAACTTTTTATTTTGCTTTTGCCATTGAAGAATCTTAATGTATCTCCCGATGTTTTTTTTTGTCTTTTAAGTTATAATGAAATTTACCTTTCTTTGTTTTTTTTTTTTCAAGTTTTATGCTCATTATATGCTTCCATGAATGATTATGAGTTATTCTATACTGTTCTAAGGCTTTTTGCAATTATTGATGAAAAGAGTTTTCTCATTCATAAGAACATAAGTCATTATGTAGTTAAGATTGTAACAATTCGATTTTTTAAAATAAATTAAAAATGAAGAATATGAATTTCTATTTAAATTGGAGCGCTGCGGCTCTGATATTGTGAGCGCTGAGGCACTGAGGTTATAAGCGCAACGCGCTAAAAGTTGTCGTTGCGATATTGAAATATCGGTTCTACAACAATTATGAATTCAACATGCAACGTGGCGACTCAGGGTGGAGCTATTGCGTTACGCACTAAAGTTTATTTTATATACTTTTTCTCTCTGTTTTTCTTCGCTCATTCACGCCTTTAGCAAAGGCCGGCTTCCCATGGAAGGAGAAGGGGAACGAAGGAGAATAGAGGGAAGGGAAAGGTCGCACTTTGGTCGTCGATCTGCTTCGCCGCTTTTACAAAAATTACTTAGATCGTGGTAGAAGGTTGTTATCCTATTTCTATTTTCAGAAATTTTGGTTTCAACCGTCTGATTTCTTACAAATTGAATTTATTGCATTTTCTCCGGATTTAACGAACTTTTACTAAATAACTTTTTATAGCTTATATTACTAATTATTCTAGAAAGCTTGGCTAGATGATTTCATGATTTCACCGGGTAAACTAAAAGTAATTGTATTTTGAACAATTTGTGAAGAATGAAACTTTTGGTATTTTTAATATAAACTTCATGGTAATACAAGCATAATAAATGAATATGAGTATGTGATAGTGTAATAGCTGGTTGCTATTTCTTTTATAATACTGTGATAATAGTATACGTGAGAGCAAGTAAAGGTTGATTTTATTGAAGTATTGACGTTGACTAAAGACTGATTGAATTATACATGATGGTGGACAAACAGACTTTGTTTTAAATATTATGGTTTGTTCTTATCCTCTATTGATTCACGTGATTCAATCATTAAAAGTGTGAACCTCCGAATGGACACCGCCAGCTGCAGAGTGCAAAGGGTATATGACCGCACCACCCCGAGGGATAGAGACGATTGCAGACCTCCGCGCTCTTCTCAAACGGGCCAATGGAGGGGCATATTAGATCATACATACGACTAACCATTGAGGATAGAGGATATCGCTAGCGCACTCCAATGGATAGTAATATATACGACCTGATCAAAATAACGGGTTTCCCCCACCCGATACATCAGCTCAAGTGGAGTTTATTTGATGGTGGAGTTCCGTTTCCCACGGGCGCAAGCCCTCGTGGTTAATTACATCTTGAGCCTAGGGCTTGAGAAAACTCTCGTTAAGGATCCAATTTTATTCTTCCAGACAAGGGAGATTGGCACGAAATTAAAGGGGAGACTAGGAAATCCTACTCAAAAGGAAATGAATGGCTCAAATGACCTAGTCGACACGCAGGGTTCACTCTGACATTCAGAGGGACTAAGGAAATAAGAAGGGAAAGAAAATCAATCACTCAGAGCATGCATAGAGAAAGGATGGAAGTGACGCCATATGTGTGATGCAGATAAGTAGGATTTATAGTTCATGAAGAGAAGGAACTTACCCACTATTTAGGCATACTACGAAATAACCAATATAGTAGCATTGAATCCTAGATCTATGATGAGTTTTGTATTATACCAAACACTAACACCTATGTCCTAAATAATACACTTGGACTTATATCCTGCTTGAAAAGAAATGCCAGCTAATCACCTGAGCGCGTAAAATCCATGTTATCCAGTCTTTATGCAAGATGGGTAGGTAGTTTAGTTTTTCAGAGTAGGGCTGATGTCTAGAGAGTTTTCTAATTGGTCTTGAACTTATGTAGGGAGAATTCTCCTATAACTAATACAATTAAATTTTTAATTTAATGAGTTTTTAATACAATGCATACTAGTTGAAAAGTTTAAATCATATATGTTTGAGATTTAAAAAAAAAATAATCTTATATAAAAATAATTTTTTGAAAAGATTAGGCCTCCCTAGATCCGACACTTCATTCTCATAGGCCTCTACCTGCAGGCGGGGAGGTGTCTTATAACAAATGACCCCGGATGACTCCGGCTATTCCCTAGATCGTTAGGTTTCTAAATTATTTAATTATTAAAATTTTAGAATTTAGTTACGAGTAAAAAAATATTTTTTATCCTAGAAAGTCTATGCAAATTAGGCCATACACATACAAGAAAGAAACTTAGAAAAGGTAGACAATTTCTAATGCACAATCAATAGTAAACATATCAATGTAAATCCAACACAGTAAAGTAAAGTCCATGGTAAGTTCCATATAAGTACAACCCAGGGTCTGTAGAAAAGTATTGGTGGCCAGGCTCCACCGACAACAACCTGAATTCTAATCCTAATGAATGATGCAAGTCTTAAAATCTAGGCATTTCATCTTCAAGTCTCCATCTTCGAGTGGATTGTCCTTCTCTGGATCATCTCCCTTTGGATCGTCTCCTTCGGGCTCCGTATGGTTCGTCCTCCAAAAGGGTACCAAAATGACTAAATTTCCCAAGAGG